AAGCAACACACTACAGGAAGCACACACTACAGGTACAGTTAACACACTATGTACAGTTAAGCAATACACTAAGAAAGTTACACACAAGTATAAAGCACACACTACAGCACACACTACAGGTACAGTTAACACACTACAGGTACAGTTAACACACTACAGGTACAGTTAACACACTACAGGTACAGTTAACACACTACAGGTACAGTAAACACAGTACAGGTACAGTTAACACACTACAGGTACAGTTAACACACTACAGGTACAGTTAACACACTACAGGTACAGTTAACACACTACAGGTACAGTTAACACACTACAGATACAGTTAACACACTACAGATACAGTAAACACACTACAGGTACAGTTAACACACTACAGGTACAGTTAACACACTACAGGTACAGTTAACACACTACAGGTACAGTAAACACACTACAGATACAGTAAACACACTACAGGTACAGTAAACACACTACAGGTACAGTTAACACACTACAGGTACAGTTAACACACTACAGATACAGTAAACACACTACAGGTACAGTTAACACACTACAGGTACAGTAAACACACTACAGGTACAGTTAACACACTACAGGTACAGTTAACACACTACAGGTACAGTTAACACACTACAGGTACAGTTAACACACTACAGGTACAGTAACCACACTACAGGTACAGTTAACACACTACAGGTATAGTAAACACACTACAGGTACAGTAAACACACTACAGGTACAGTTAACACACTACAGGTACAGTTAACACACTACAGGTACAGTAAACACACTACAGGTACAGTAAACACACTACAGATACAGTAAACACACTACAGATACAGTTAACACACTACAGGTACAGTTAACACACTACAGATACAGTTAACACACTACAGGTACAGTTAACACACTACAGGTACAGTAAACACACTACAGGTACAGTAAACACAATTACAGGTACAGCACACACTACAGGTACAGTTAACACACTAAGGTACAAGCACACACTACAGGTACAGTAAACACACTACAGATACAGTTAACACACTACAGATACAGTTAACACACTACAGGTACAGTAAACACACTACAGGTACAGTAAACACACTACAGATACAGTTAACACACTACAGATACAGTTAACACACTACAGATACAGTTAACACACTACAGATACAGTAAACACACTACAGATACAGTTAACACACTACAGATACAGTAAACACACTACAGGTACAGTAAACACACTACAGGTACAGTAAACACACTACAGGTACAGTTAACACACTACAGGTACAGTTAACACACTACAGATACAGTAAACACACTACAGGTACAGTTAACACACTACAGGTACAGTTAACACACTACAGATACAGTTAACACACTACAGGTACAGTTAACACACTACAGATACAGTTAACACACTACAGGTATAGCACACTACAGATATAGCACACACTCATAGGGTACACACACTACATACAGAGATACAGTTAACACACTACAGATACAGTTAACACACTACAGATACAGTAAACACACTACAGGTACAGTTAACACACTACAGGTACAGTTAACACACTACAGGTACAGTTAACACACTACAGGTACAGTAAACACACTACAGATACAGTAAACACACTACAGGTACAGTAAACACACTACAGGTACAGTTAACACACTACAGGTACAGTTAACACACTACAGATACAGTAAACACACTACAGGTACAGTTAACACACTACAGATACAGTTAACACACTACAGGTACAGTTAACACACTACAGGTACAGTTAACACACTACAGGTACAGTTAACACACTACAGGTACAGTAAACACACTACAGGTACAGTTAACACACGACAGGTACAGTAAACACACTACAGGTACAGTTAACACACTACAGATACAGTTAACACACTACAGGTACAGTTAACACACTACAGATACAGTTAACACACTACAGGTACAGTTAACACACTACAGGTACAGTTAACACACTACAGGTACAGTTAACACACTACAGGTACAGTTAACACACTACAGGTACAGTTAACACACTACAGATACAGTAAACACACTACAGGTACAGTTAACACACTACAGGTACAGTTAACACACTACAGGTACAGTTAACACACTACAGGTACAGTAAACACACTACAGATACAGTAAACACACTACAGGTACAGTAAACACACTACAGGTACAGTTAACACACTACAGGTACAGTTAACACACTACAGATACAGTAAACACACTACAGGTACAGTTAACACACTACAGATACAGTTACACACACTACAGGTAACACACTACAGGTACAGTTAACACACTACAGGTACAGTTAACACACGCAGGTGGGTTAACACTACTACAGTTAACACACTACAGGTGCAGTTAACACACTACGGGTACAGTTAACACACTACAGGTACAGTTAACACACTACAGGTACAGTTAACACTACAGATACAGTTAACACACTACAGATACAGTTAACACACTACAGGTACAGTTAACACACTACAGGTACAGTAAACACACTACAGGTACAGTTAACACACTACAGATACAGTAAACACACTTCAGGTACAGTTAACACACTACAGTTAACACACTACAGGTACAGTTAACACACTACAGGTAGTGTGTTAACTGTACCTGTAGTGTGTTAACTGTACAGGTACAGTTAACACACTACAGTTAACACACTACAGGTACAGTTAACACACTACAGTTAACACACTACAGATAACACACTACAGGTACAGTTAACACACTACAGGTACAGTTAACACACTACAGTTAACACACTACAGTTAACACACTACAGTTAACACACTACAGTTAACACACTACAGGTACAGTTAACACACTACAGTTAACACACTACAGTTAACACACTACAGTTAACACACTACAGGTACAGTTAACACACTACAGGTACAGTTTACACACTACAGGTACAGTTTACACACTACAGTTAACACACTACAGTTAACACACTACAGTTAACACACTACAGGTACAGTTAGCACACTACAGTTAACACACTACAGTTAACACACTACAGTTAACACACTACAGTTAACACACTAACCTAACCTAACAATTTCCAATAAATAAAATTCCATCAACAGGAGTTTTATAACATGAAATAAATCCTTCCTCATTGACTAAAATCCTGTACTAAATCTGCTAAATCCTAATCCCGATACAGTCTTTACAACACCATCAAATTAATCCTCCCGATATAAACTCTATATATTTCCATGATATCCGATAAATTCCGATTACTAATGGATGTATTTAGGTCATCCATGTATATATTAAGTAATGGGTCGTTCTAGTGAAGTGTCCCCTTTAGCTATCGTTTATTATGGTAGACTCGTTTAAAAGAGACACTATTATGTAAAACCCGGTAAGCTGGTTCGTTCTGGGGATGTTTTTGTTGAATTATTTGTTTATAATGATGTTTGGGATGGTATGTCTGCCTGTCTGTCTGTCTCTCTGCCTGTCTGTCTGTCTGTCTGTCTGTCTGTCTGTCTCAAGAAGGGAGAGACGAGAGAGGATTAGATCAGTATACTGGTACTCTCCCTGGGAAATTGACACTGGCCCCTCCTCCTTTCTCTCCCTGCAATATGCCGGTTGGCCTGTGCATGGCAGCTTCTGTCGAGAGTTACTACCACTCTCTGTCATCCATGAATCTATCCAGCCTCCTTGTAAAACTTTCCAGCGTTCCAGCACTTACTACAAAGTTGCTAAGCTTGTTCCACTCGTCCACCACCCTATTTGTGAACCAGTTCCTTCCTATCTCCCTCCTAAACCTAAACTTATCCAACTTAAATCCGTTGCTACGAGTCCTATCCTGCTCGGATATTATATGAACTTTATCTATATCCCTTTATTGATTCCTTTCACCCACTTAAATACTTCTATCATATCTCCCCACACTCTTCGTCTTTCTAGGGAATGCAAGTTTAGTTTCTTTAACCTATCCTGATATGGAAGGTTTCTAAGTCCCGGAATCATTTTCGTCATTCTTCGCTGCACCGACTCTAGTGAATTGATATCCATTCTATAATAAGGGCACCAGTTGGGGTAAAATATCCATCAGGCGAGTCTCTCGAAGTTCTTCTTCTTGTTCTTCTTGTTCTTGTTCTTCTTCTTGCTCTTCTTGTTCTTCTTGTTCTTGTTCTTCTTCTTCTTCTTGTTCTTCTTCGTCTTGGACGAGGATCTGTGCCGAGTCTGGGGGTCACGTGTGTGTGTGTGTGTGTGTGTGTGTGTGTGTGTGTGTGTGTGTGTATCTTCATGCATCAGTTAAGTGAAATGTAAAGGTTAAGCATGATGCTCTGGTCCTTCCTTCCTTCCTTCCTTCCCTCCTTCTCTGTCCTTCCTTCGTTCCGTCTGTGACCTTCCTGCCTTCCTTCTTTCTCTGTCCTTCGTTCCGTCTGTGTCCTTCCTTCCTTCAGTCTTTGTCTTTCTTTCCTTCCTTCCTTCCTTCCTTCTCTGCCCACCCTTCCTTCCACCCGTCTCATTATCCTTCCTTCCTTCCGTCCTTCGTCCGTCTAGAGAACGTCTGAGATTCCTTCCTCGTTCCGTCTGTTCAGTGAGTCTCCCTGGTCCCTCTGGTAAGGTGTGTTGCCATCATCACTAACAGGTGAGAACAGGTGAGTACAGGTGAGAACAGGTGAGTACAGGTGAGTACAGATGAGTACAGGTGAGTACAGGTGAATACTTAATTAAGGTAAATACGTATAAAGGATTATTTCCCTGTGTAGTAGATTGTTGATGTAATGGTAAACGTAATACTTCTCAAGATTAGTTAAGGAGAGAGCCTAACTACCCAATTGCCTTCCATAATAGGTAGTTTAAGGATCACAATTAACAACCCAAATTGTTACATTCTCACATTAACCACCCAGTTTACTTCCCTGTAATAAGTAGTTCAAAGACTATACTAACGACCCAATTTGCTTCCCTCCTACAGGTAGTGCAGGAGTACGAACGAGCGGTTATCTTCCGCCTCGGTCGTCTCCTGAAGGGCGGCGCCAAGGGTCCCGGAATCTTCTTCGTTGTTCCCTGCATCGACTCGTACAGGAAAGTCGACCTCCGTACTGTGTCATTCGATGTTCCGCCACAAGAGGTAAAATCTTTCCGCTACCTTGGTTGGCCGCACTCTTAGGGAAATTGGTCTGTGTAATAGGGTAGAAAATAGGTTTAAATAGGATTAGGAAGGAGATTAAATTGGAAAAATGTTGATATAATTATAGAAATAGGGATGCAAGTGCAGATATAGGTCATGTTATTGGAGAAATAGGGAATAGAACCGGAGAAATGTGTAAAGTAATTGGTTATATAGGAGATGTAATTGGAGAAATAGGTAAAATTGGATAAATGAGTAGTATTTAAGTATGTCAGTAATATATAGACAAAATATGATATAAATAGGCAAAAATAGACGATGTTTTGGTGGAATATAAAAGAAAATTGGCAGGATTTATGGGCCTATAGGAGAAACTAATTGGGTAAAACTAATTGGGTAAAACTAATTGGGTAAAACTAATTGGGTAATAGCTTATCCTCGTCGACTACTGTACTGCTGTTCATGGATTTTATTATTTTTGATGATAAACAAAATAACTAAAAATATTGTAGAAAAAAAAATAATTCGAAGTTTGTAGGAGAATTGATGGGAATAATAGACTATTTTGAGGTATTAGAAGACAATTTTTAACCGAGATTTAATATTACTTTCATTTATAGTTTGAGAATAACATTGCCCAAAGTATACTGTAAAGAATGGACGAGTTGGCGGTCGGGATTTTTTTCATAAGATGGCAGGTCAGTGGGTAAAGAAGTGCTTAAATTCACTATGGTGATGATATTTTTTAATAAATTGGGCCAAAAATAGTTAAAAATAAGGGTTAACGTTGGTAAGAAGTCACGTGACTGTGAAAAGCTCTGTGATTGGTTGTGCAACTATATCTTGAGCTAGTCAGGCCGCACCTCGATTATGCGGGTCAGTTCTGGTGCCCTTATTATAGAATGAATATAAATTCACTAGAGTCGGTGCAGCGAAGAATGACAAAAATGATTCCGGGACTTAGAAACCTTCCATATCAGGATAGGTTAAAGAAACTTAACTTGCATTCCCTAGAAAGACGAAGAGTGCGGGGAGATATGATTGAAGTATTTAAGTGGGTGAAAGGAATCAATAAAGGGGATATAGATAAAGTTCTTATAATATCCGAGCAGGATAGGACTCGTAGCAACCTGATTTAAGTTGGATAAGATTAGGTTTAGGAGGGAGATAGGAAGAAACTGGTTCACAAATAGGGTGGTGGACGAGTGGAACAAGCTTAGCAACTTTGTAGTAAGTGCGGGAACTCTGGAAAGTTTCAAAAGGAGGCTAGATAGATTCATGGATGATAGAGAGTGGTAGTAACTCTCGACAGGAGCTGCCATGCACAGGCCAACCGGCCTATTGCAGACTCCTTATTTTCTTATGTTCTTATGTTCTTATAAGTTATAAGATTAGCTTAACATACACTAGTTATTTCCAATAGAAATGAAGGTCAAAATCGTTCATAACACATCGCAAACCATCAGAGAAAAAATAACATCGTCTGCAAGTCTAAGTACAGGGATGACCAAAACCTAACACTTACCCAGTGAAGCCTATCTCGATACTCAGCATCCAAATACTTATGGTAGTTAAAGTATAATTTTACCCATTAATTAATATAAACGATGATTTATCCCAGTGGTTCATTAGTGAATCATCAAAATAATAACAGCACTATGTTGTCATGTTTACCTAGCATCAGACATTACCAAAACAAAGTCCAGACAATGTCATTACTTCTAAATTGACTCGTATCTCCATCTAGTACTGATATACTCTGTAAATGCACTAAAAAAAAAGATAAGTTTACCAGGTAAGAGTACATAAAAGCTGAGCTGGTGTAAACATGGGAGTTTTTTATGTCCATGAAAAGATAAGAATGGAGGAAACAGTAACTATTGGTCCATACTGTACAGTCCCATTTACACCCAACCCCTATTGCTCATATATCCATCCAACCTATGTTTGAAACTGCACTTCACGGCACATTTCTTCACTTACAAAATGTCCATAACTTAGACCATAAAAAACACCCTTAAAACTTACCTGAACGTGGTATTTGGGGTCTGAAGAAGCCATCCTTGTTAGGCCCTTACTGCAGCGGTGAGTTTCTTCCAGAGCGTCATGTGTGGTGTAGGTGGTAACGTCAATGCAAATGGTGGCCGTTTCTTATCTCGACTATTATAGCAGGACTTTAAACTTTTATTACAAATTATATATACCGTATGACTCCACAAACGCGGCAGAGTGTATTTCTTGTGTTTACCCAGAACCAACAACTCGTCCATTTCTTAATGATAACTAGAGTGAGGTCGCTTGTATTTAATGTGTAGACTTGTTAGGTATTTTTATGTAGTACAGTTTATTGTGATGTTATGCATAGTATATTAAACAGGCATTAGAAGGCAACACAAGTACTGATAGGTTGATGAAGACAGCGGGGCGGGGAAGGAAGTGAGAGAAAACTGTATTATGTTAGGGGTAACTTGGTGAGTTCTTGGCATTTTTCAAAATTTATTATATTTCTAAAAACTTGAAGCATTTTTTAATCATTGTCAGAAGTGAGCGATAGTAATTGATTCTGATTTATTGAAAACGGCATTAATGGGTAATAGTGATGCTGAGTGAGGTTAGGTTAGGTGAGAACATTGGTGTATAATAACATTTCATAACTAATATTTATGTCAACATTTTTGCCCCGTGTAGAAGGCTTCAATAATCAATTTTCTATTTGTTAATTAACTTTATAAAACTTAATTCAATTTGACAACTAAAATTTAGCCATCTAATTAATTGACAATATATAACAAAATTTTTCCTACAGATGTGTGATTTTTTCTCTCTATTTTTTTTGTATATAAACTTTGGTGGATAATACCGACTTTTAATTTTTTCTAATATCGAAAATATCCATAATTTTACCATTTTTATTTATATATATATATTGTTTAGCTTTTTATAATAGTTCTGTTTTGTTTACCGTCAAATTTGTCAGAGTTTTGTCATTTTCCGAGGTTTATGATAACCAACACTGGCTCTTTGGCTCTAACTCACATTAACAAACTGTACTTAAATACGTCTCAACCTTTCAGTATTAACTCTTAAATCATCCGTACTTTTACTTATGAGAAACTGACGTCATACTATAGAAGCAGGAAAAAAAAAATAAAGAATAATAACCATTTTAATTTCAGATTGGAAGCTCTAAACCTTCCCCCTTCCCCCTTTGGCCACTGTACCACCTGCACTAATCCCCCTACCCACCTTATATGTACTACTACTACTACTACTACTACTACTACTACTACTACTACTGTACATGTACTACCTGCATACTGTATATATGAACTAGAACCAAATATATATCTCTATGTATGATTACTTTACCAAACGTTTTCAGAAGGTTTTGTTAAGTGATGGGATGTGTAACTCTTGTGTGCCGCTTTTGTCAAGCATTAACTCATAAGTTTGCTCGTCCTTGTCTGAGTTGGCACGGAGATGCATACACTATATTTCCACCTTCTTATTCTTCTTTCCATTTAAGCCGAGTTTTTTGCGTGCCAATATACATATATATACATAATGTTGATTTTGTTTATATACATATTTTTTATCAATCTATGTATTCTCTGATTTTTTTTCCCATTTCAGTTTGAGTATTTTAGAGTAGTGGAGATTTTCATTTTTTTTTTTAATGTTTCTGTAAGTTAAGAGAGCCCGTAAGACCATGGTTATTGTAATTTTTGGTGTAATACTCTGTTGGTGTTTTGTATTCAGCTGAGGGTAATGATAGTTCAGTGGGTATATTAATAATTATTTTACTTCAGTCTTATAGCATCTTCCACGGCCTAATGTTATTGATTTACAACGTAGTGTGGATGTGTCCAAACGACTCAAGACAACTTATCAATAATCGCTACCTGTAAAACTAATGAAAATATGTAAACCAAAAAAATTAAGGGAACACAAAATTTACTTATCTGTGGACTATGAATATTCGATTTACAAAATGTTGTAAATGCGACTGACTCTAGAAGTAGATTATGACTTAGCTTACAGGAGGTGTAGATGACGTGTTTTGTTAGTCATTCATTGTCCCCAGTTAGTGTGGACGAGATGACTGACACACAAGGGGTAGATCCCCCTCCCCCACCTCCCCTCATCCCTCCCCCTAAGGTATCGTGACGTATCTGCCCCCACCACCACCACTACAACCACCACCACTACCACCACAACCACCACCACCACCACCACCACCACTACCACCGCCACCACCACCACCACCACCACCACCAACCACCACACAACCACCACCACTCACCACCACACCACCACCACCACCACCACACCACCACCACCTACACTCACCAACCACCACCACCACCACCACCACCACCACCACCACCACCACCACCACCACCACCACCACCACCACCACCACCACCACCACCACCACCACCACACCACCACCACCACCACCATACCACCACCACCACCACCACCACCACCACCACCACCACCACCACCACCACCACCACCACCACCACCACCACCACCACCACCACCACCACCACCACCACCACCACCACCACACCACCACCACCACCACCACCACAACCACCACCACCACCACCACCACTACCACCACCACCACCACCACCACCACCACCACCACCCACCACCACCACCACCACCACCACCACCACCACCACCACCACCACCACCACCACCACCACCACCACCACCACCACCACCACCACCAACCACCACCACCACCACCACCACCCACCACCACCACACCACCACCACCCACCACCACCACCACCACCACCACCACCACCACCACCACCACACACCACCACCACCACCACCACCACCACCCACCACCACCACCACCACCACCACCACCACCACCACCACCACCACCACCACCACCACCACCACCACCACCCACCACCACCACCACCACCACCACCACCACCACCACCACCACCACCACACCAACCACCACCACACCA